GGGATATGGACTGACCTTTACTTTGATGAGTTCCTTGATGCGGTCGGTGATGACAAAGTGCTCGGTTCCCTTGGGGGATTTTCTCACGAGCACCTCGTCGCCGGTCTTGAGCCAGCGGCCGTCTTGGTGGTGGACGAATGTCTCGGCGTTGGCCCTTTCGTTGTGCAGGTAGCCGAGGACGACGGAGGGCGACTGGACGAGGAGCTCGCCTCGGGTTTCGTGGGCGGTGACTTGGTTGCCGTCTGCGTCGATGAGCTTGGCCTTGGACCCGGGCAGGAGGCAGCCCGACGAGCCGAGGAGCCGGTCGGTTTCGCTGGTGGAGGATATGCCGGGCGAGGCTTCTGTCATTCCTGCCGCGTCGGTTAGGCTCACGTTTGATGAGCTGATGGATCGGGGGGCGGTTGCTTACCGTAGCCCTGGCCGATGCTCCAGCTCGGATAGAGCTTCAGAATGCCCTCAATCACCTCTGGTCCCAGCGGGGCGGCGCCGGAAAACACATAGCGCACGCTGCTCAGGTCGTACTTGGACACGGTGTCCCTGTGGGTGATGATGTGTATCAGCAGGGGCGGCACGATGCTCAGCTGCTCGATTTTGAAGCGCTGGATGGCGTCCAAGAAGGTTGCTGGTTCGAACTTGGGCAGCACGACGACTTGGTCGCCGCGGTAGTGGCCGAGCAGCGCGACCAATGTGAGGCCGTAGATGTGGCTGAAGGGCAGGACGCCGACGCTGGTCTGGGTCTTGACGCCGAGTTGCTCGCGGGCGACGGACTCGACGGCCGCCATTTGCATGATGTTGGCGATGACGTTGAGGTGCGAGACCATGACGGCTTTCTGTAGCAACAGTTAGTCCTTTTCGTTTCTTTTTGTCTGAAAAAAAAAGCAGGTATTCAGAGAGGGCAGTGCCAGTCTTACCGGTAGGCCAGAAGTGCCGCTTGAATAGGATAGAAATGCAGTTTGCCTCGCGCCCTGACCCGTGACCCATTGCAAGGGCGGCAGCGGAGGCAGACTCTTGCCTTGCTCGACTAGATGGTCGATGGTCTCGAACCTTGGATCCGAAGCAACCTGGGGAACGGCCAGGAGAAACACACGCTCGCGGGGGATGGCGGCCGCATCGGCAGCCTTGAGGGCATTTTCCAAAAGAGGCACGCATGTAAACAGGGCCCGGGCACCCGACGAGCGAAGCTGATGCTCCAGCTCTTGATGGGAGTAGGCAGCACTGGCGGGCGTGACGATTCCCGAGAGGCGGTGGATGGCGTGTGCAAATGGGATGTAGTCAATCTGTGTTTGCCGACAAACATGGCACGTCAGTACTCCGTACCAGGTAGTATTTTCCAAGAGGGCGACATGGACTGACCGTGTTCAGCGAGTACAGACACGCGACTCTGTCCCACTCGGTGCCCTCGTGCGGGTTGAATGCCAATCGTCTTGCGATGCCTCGCGCGAGGTAGTCGGTTCGTTGGGCCACGTCGGCCACGGATCTGGTCAAGCCCGTAATGCCACATGTGTAGGGGTCCTTGGACTCGGCAATGGGATGGCGGCCATATTTGGGGTTGTTGATGAACTCTTCGAGGGTGATGGAGTCGGGGAGCCCTGCAGGTGTCGGGTGTCAGGTGTCAAGTGTCAGGGACGAGTTTTGCAGAGTCTTGGGTTCATGTTTGGTTACAAACCTGGGAGGGTGGGAGACGACGGAGGCGGGAGAAACACCATGGCGCCCAAAGAATTGCAACGTCGCACACGCTCGGGCAAGACTCGTGGAACTTGAGGCACGACCGCTCACGGCTCTTTCTTATGCAGAGGAAACGGGAGAGAAATAAGAGCCGGTGAGGTGGGAGGGCCATTGTCGTGTATAGCCTCGGATCCGGCACTCTCTCATCTCTATTAGCTTGCCGGTTTCCAGTGCCGGTTTCCATTACCGTCGGCTCTCCATCACGTCAGGTCTTCCGAGGCACCAAGCAAGAGGCACCAAGCAAGTCTACGCATTGAGCACGGCAATTGAGCGCTCCCCATTGGATGGCGTGCCCGCCGTTGGACCCTGTTATGGGCTTGGGGTCCCTGGACGGCCCCGAGCCGATCCACATGTTCCTCTCCACCTCCGCGTTTTGCGGATCTTGGCCATTCTGTCTCGGCGCGGCAGCCTCGGCTGGACAAGAAGAGGCAGAATGACGAATGCCTTATAAAAGGGGGTACGCGGCTCTATATATTATCAAGCGCATTATTTAGTTACTGTCTCCTGCGGGTAGCTTACTCCAGGTTTTATTTGCTCAAGAGTACATATGGGGAGAGCCTCCTTCCTTATTTTAACGAGGCAAAACCGCAAGCTGCAGCCCGACACTGCCATTGCTTGTCTGCTCGGGTGCGTACATATGTACTTGGCCGTTTGATGACGCAAACACAGGCAAAGGTGTCTCGCTTTTTGTGTGAATAGCTTCAGTTGGAGCTCTCTTTTCCGCCTTGTAAACAATCGCTTTATCCAACTCGCACTCAACCCTGCTCGTGCCCTTGTACTGTCAACACCAACACCAACACCAACCCACACATGCACCGGGATGCACTGCCGTGACCTGTCCCAAAGCCTCTGGAAATTTACTTTCCCAATAGAAACTCCAGGTAAATGCCTTTACTTCCGGTGTAAACAGCCATCTATAGTGTTTTGTTGAGACTGATTCATCGCAGCGCGGCAATTAACTTCAAGCCGCCTGTCGTCATCCCTGGTCCTCGCGGAAAGACCTTGTTCAGAAAAAGCCTAGCGTGGCACATGGTCCACCAGACATTACTGGCCCAAGTGGCCGTTATCCACGCAACGGTAAATAACGAATGTGACATTAATGACGTGCTCAACGAAACCCACCTTTATTAACAAGTATACATGTAATCAAGTTCAATTGCCTTTAATAGAATCTTTACTATCGCATTCGACGAGGAAATTGTACGTGGCAAATATCTGCCCTGTAAGCAGCTCTAGGACTCCTGCCTCTACGGCTAGATTTACACAAGTCTTCCCCTCTTTACCATGCAATGCAAATAGCAGCTATTACTATAAGGAATTGAGCACTCAACCCGCAATCCACATTTGCCATTGCTTGTAAATTGCAATGCCATCACATGAAAGTAAATTTTGCTATAAACCTTACTACACTACCAGTTACAATAACTACCCTCTGATAAACTTTGGCAATAGAGAGGGGTAGACATCTAGAATACTTGACACTCAGCCACAGCCAATTATGTGGCCATTACCTTTCTAGCTGCTCGGGTTTCTGCTCAACCAGTACTATAGATCTGGCAATCTACCCAGTTATATTATAGTAAACCGATCTTAGCAGCCTCGTATTGACACCTCACTCATACCCAATAACATGTTCCCCTTCACCAACGTGGTGCTTGCTCCAACACCTGCCACGGCCGCCATTATCCCTTCGCATCTCACAATGAGAGAATGAGGCTTGACCCTCGCCAATAACTACTCAAGTACACGACGGCAACGTATCAAAGCCGCAATACCAAACTGCCACAAAGTCATCTAGCACAGCAGTCAACGTAGTAAAAACACCGAGCCGTCCTACAACCCATAAAAGGCAGGCCCATCTCCCGAAGCAATCCACCATCCAACACAGAAAACCTTGGCTCTCACATCACAGTCAAACCCTAAAACAGACTCCCAGCCCAAATACCCCATCCACAATGCTCACCATCCTCGCCCTTGGCTTCGCTCTCGCCAAGGCCGCCCTGGCCATCGGCAACGCCGTCGTCGAGAACAACTGCGAATTCCCCGTCTATCTCAGGTCAGTCGGCAGAGAAGTCTCGCCGGCATATTACCTCCGCCCGCGCGGGGGCAGGTTCTCCGAGCCGTACTCCCGCGACCCGACGTTCGGCCAGGCCCTCAAGATCACCCTGGGGCCCGACGACGTGTTCGATCCCACCAGACCGCAGACCGTCTACGGGTACACCCTCAGCGAGCCCTTCATCTACTACGATCTCGACGACGTTCGGGGCAACATCTTCGCCGGCAAGCGTCTTGTCCAGCGCAGCACGGATGACTCGTGCCCGTCTAATGTCTGGCCCCAGGGCGTGCCTGTGGAGCCTCATGTCCATAACTGCCGTGATTCGGAGGCCGATATCATCTTGACCCTGTGCTCGGCAGAGGGGGGATTGTACTATAATATATGGGAGCTGTAACTGGAAGGGGATATAACTGTAGCTTTGTCTTTGTTTGTAATGGGCCTAGTAATAGGTCAACAGACACATTGTAGTTTAGCATGTACTTGAGTTATTAATTATTTTTTTAATTACCTTTTATTCTATATTATAATTGTTCGCCACACTCGGTTCCGTCAATCACGACTCTTCGCACCACCGCTTCTAGTCTTGCCATGACTATCGTTCAAATCTGGACACTGGCCATCCCCAATTATACTGGCTACTGCTTCATCTATTCAAGAGTATGTTGCCAAGTGCAAAACCATCAACTGCCCGAGAACAAAGTCGGTAACTCTGACTATGATGCCACTCAGCGCCAGTACGACTCAGCGGCCGCTAGTAGTCGTAGAGAGGACTTGACCGTAGACGCTCCTCAAGGCCGACATCTGAGTGGCAGGGTCTGTTCGTGAATTGAGAGATGCGTAAATGCGTGATTTTGTGAATGAGCCTCGGCTACAGCTGCTTCCATTTCGAAGCCTGGATGACGAGTGCGATTACCGGCCGATGGCCACGGTTGTTAGCTCGTACTGCTGTTTAGCCCTCGCCTTCACAACAGGGCTACTAACAAATTAGATCCTGAAAATGGAAAATCGTTACAAAGCGAGGTTAGAGAACCACTCCAGTAATCGACAAAACCTATCGCCGTGGCAAAAAACTCAGGTGACCACCTCATTAATACCATGTGCCACTTCTCAAGTTCGTAGGGTATCGTGAGTCGTCTAATGCTGTGTGTGCAGTCGTCTATATGGAAAACACGCCTTAAAACATCAAACACCAAGCGAAATAACCCAATATTATATGTACTCAACATAAAATGTTGCATGCCATGCCCGCAACACCGATTATAACCTGCAGAGAACTTATCGCCGTGACTCGCACTCCAGCGTTTTTGTTACCGCCGCCACCCGTGGATACCGCCTGGACTGTCTGTGTCGTCACCACGCCGGTCACGCAGGCGGGATCAATAGACGGGCACGAAGTGATGGTATAGGCCGTCGTGTAAGTCTTGGTAGAGACGCTGCCCGTCGTGGAAGTTGGCTGCGAAATGTTAGCTTGCCATCGATAAAATCATATGGCGTCTCCCGCCTTAACATTCCATATTCGGCATTCTTACCTGGGCACTACCAGTACCAGTAACAGAAGTGTCACTTGCTTTGCAATTTCCAGTGGCAGAAGGAACCGCATCTGTACCAGACGAAACGGCAACAATATCATTCTTGTCGCAGTTGGCGGCTTGGGCAATATGCACCTCCTGGTTGTCCCAGTCGAATACAAAATAACCAGCGCGGAGAACACTGTCTCCCAGGATCTGTTGGTCTGTTGTGAGGACCATGCCAACGTAACACGTGTCGGAAGAACCGCCCAAATCCAAAATAAAGTCCTTCAATGGCACGCGAATCGTCTTACTTCCAAATCCAAAGTCTACGCTGCCTCTGGACGTCTTGGCCGAACAAGGCACCTGGTAGTAGCCTTCGCCGTCATCCGTGGCATTAAGAGCGCGCAGTATAGGTACGGCTACGGTGGAATGCATGCGGGTAATTGTCGTCCCAGAGTCCAGCATAACATTGGCATCGGATTTGTTGACTGCGAAGCTGGATGATGATGACATGGTGATGCCAATCGTTGTCAACTCAACCGCGAGCCGCCACTCACCGCCAACGCCCTTGACGATTGGACGCTTCTCAAGTGCACCGATGAATTTATTCCTGTCCAGACCACCATAAATAACAGCGCCGTACTGATCGTCAGAGTGGCGCAAGTCTAGAGAAAATACCCGGCTGGAAATGACGCCTTGCTGGGCCATGGAGTCCAGGACCAAGCTGTATGGTTCGTCGATAGTAAAACCGTCCTTCAAGTCTGGTGCTAACCCCATGATACCTTGGGCCTGGCCCTTGCTCTCCGCCACGACCCCAAATGTTTGGTTGTTGATTTTGGCATCTCCAAGTGCAACCGTATCGGAATAATAGTGAATCAAGACTGACGTTTGGGTCTTGGGATCGGAAGGGTCTCCGTAATTGAGCTGCTCCTTTCCAAAGGGTCCGTAGGACTTATTGGACTGTTGGGGATTATATTGGCCAAATTGCTGGCACTGCTTTGCCTGCTCTCGAGTTTTGGTCGTTCTGCAATCAGGGTTGACCCATAATTCACTTGAACCAGTATCGACGAGTACTGTGACTCGTTGGGGAGGGCTGCCAATGTTGACTGTCAAGTGGTTAGGACGAATCAGCGGGAAAGCTCTTACACAAAGAGTACTGAGTCTCCGAGTATGAGATGGAGGAGATATCAGTCGACCAATTGTCCCGGCGACTCACCGTCTGTGGCATAAAAGAAGTCCATGTTATTGAGCTGGTCCTCAAAGGCGTTCGCAGCTCGCCTTACGCCAGGTAGTCGGTTCACGGTGCCAACAGGCATCGCCAGGAAGCCATCTCCACTGACGGATTGCGAGAAGCCTTTCAAGAGGGTCTCGTCCACGGCAATAGACAAGTCGGCTCCGAGTAAGACGAGCACCGCGGTGCCCAAGGATACGGACCGCATCGCCGGGCGACCAGAAGTGGTAACCTTGTGAATGGAGCTCGAGTAGAGGCCGCTCCGCGCAAAAAGTTTCCCAGAAGCAAGACCTCTGAAGGCCGAGGAGGCAGGTGCGACTGAGTCGAGAGAACGTCACCCAAAAGGAAAGAAGCGAGGATGCGGACGGAGTAGGCGACTCCCAATATCGAGCAAAGTTGTCTCAGTCAAAAATGTTCAAAACTCGCGACTTCTCTCAAAGATAACCAGCCGCTGAACCGCACCGGCTCCCCGGATGACGGGAACATTCATCTTGGGAGTAGCATCGTCCAGGCGCCCTGCCGCAGCCCAGGTGGCTGATGCTGCGTCTCGGCTCAAAACCCATTGGCGTCGCGGAACTTTGAGCATGAGAACCCAGTGCTGAAGTGCTGACCATGGGACGCCGCCACGAAACGCCAAGGGGAGGGTTTAACAGGGTTAAGATGGCGAACCATGGCCCAATACTCCGATGCCACTACAGCATACAACTCGACGAATAGTCTGACCCGCCTAGCCGCCCAACCCGTTTGGCTGTGGTCGACGCCCTCATATCTTCTCCAGCTCCCTAATTGGGAGAGGGCGAAGCGGTGCCAGCGAACCGTTGTGGGCTGCTATGAATGCCGCAGTGGCAAGCAATTTTACGACAGAACCATTTCTTCATGATACTAGAACGGAGATTGGTCGAGGCTGCGGGGGATTACGCGTCTTGGCTTCCTCCCACAGGCAGTCAGAAGAAATCTTGGTGCTTGGAGCAAAAGGGATCTGGGCAACCTTGGCAGGAAGCAAGCAGTCTTCGAGGAGCCATGTAGCATGATCATGGTCCGCGGTGACGCCACTTCGTAATCAACTTCGCCTCCACAAAGCAAAGAGCCCAAGGGCCGGCGTGCCTTCAACAGGTCTCGACAAAACGCGACCACGCAGTATACAGCCACGGAGTTCAATGGCAATACGGGGTACTAGCATCGAACGGAATACGGAGCAGTTACAGTGCTGCGGTAAATGAAGGAGGATAGGCGCTGGGGCTGTGGTGTCTACAGTCTCACAAGAATCTGAGTTGTTTGCTTGTTTCCACTGCCCCTAGGCATGTCTCACACTGTCGGCCGAATCGAAGACTTACAACTCCTGCTTTCTACGAATAGGGATTTTTTTCCCCCTCCCGACACGCAGCATGAACGAATCCTGAAGCAGCCCGCAGGATCCGGTGGCTTCACCCACGTTTGAGAACGATTTAGAGCTGAGGCGTCCCACCAAATATGGAGCTGAATCGCCAATTCCTTGGCAATAAAATCGATATATTCCTGGAATAGAGGGGCTACCATTCTCTTTTATTGGTGACCATGTTCTTATGTGATGCTCATTTCAGTCAAAACCCTTGTCAAGGACTCAAGACGATGCGACTCCACCAAAAAGGAAGATCAGCGACTCGGACAAAAGACATTTAAAAATAGCTGGGACACGCGCTTGAATCCTCCCGCGAGTGTCATGGCCCGTCTCGGGCTAGGTTTCTTGCCTGTGAGAGCATTGTGACTGCTGTCTTCGTAATGAAGCACAAGACACAGGATACAGTAATCCAGTTGGATGGGGGAGAAGCTGGCTTTCCTTTGGGCTTCCATGATAACAAGGTTATCGCAAGCCTCGCGAACACTACCGCCAGCGGAGCAAGGGAGCATCTCCCATGGGCCCAGCTGTGCCAGCAAAAACCCCGAGCCCACAAGGCTGAACGCCATCATGGAGGCTTCGTCACTCATGTTTCGCCTCAACTCGCTTGCCAGACATGGCCGTTAAGAGTACTCCGTACTCCGAAAATATGGAGTGCTTCGTCGCCTTTCTGCGCGGCAGGCGATGGCGTGGCACCAATTGTACATGTTGTACATTAATTACCAGTCTGCTGGATTCGGCCAAGAATTGAATCGCACTAAATTTCTCCAAACCAGAACGCGGAGTAGCACATGGGACGCCATGGATGCAGCATCGAGACATTGAGGCTTCGTTTCGATTAGCGCCTACCCTGTTGCCTGGCTGGGAGGAACGTTGTCCACGAGTCGTATGTATTATCGCCAAGGCAATAGGATGCTCATAGTTCAACACGGCTACTACTATACATACCACTTTCGGACCAGGGCGAAGCGGCCCATAAAAATCGATTTGAACGTACATGACGGAAGATCGGTCAGATTGCCATTAGCAATTCTACTCAAGCTACGGAGTACAGACATGTACCAGACATCAAGTCGACATGTGGTTACCTTCGCAGACCCCCTCCCCTTGCACTGTCCAAGGCTTCCGTCCTGGAGTGTTGCAACCGAAGCTTCCATGGGTCAGGGCTCTCTCCAAATTCGACCAATATCGGCCGAAGATTGCCTTGTGCCACTGAATTGGCTCCGGTATCACGGGAGGGAAGCACGGTAACCACAATTGTTGGGCGCGACCAGCCGGGATGGCTTCATGCAACTTCTCACCGGTGTCTCGGTGTCCTACACACGACCCGCGCGCGTTGGTATTTATTACGGAATATCTGCTCCCTAGTTTCTGCCATCTTTTAAACCAGATCCATAGCAATAAGTTGCAGGTTATACTATCTGTCTGTCTCGCACCCAATGCTACGGCCGCCGTGGTGCCCCTGGACATGGCCTGCGTCAAGGAGCCAGATGATCGGCTATCATATCCCAAATTTGGTATTTTGTTTGTAGGCCGTCAAGCCGTGTGCAAGGGTGCGTCTTCACCGGTTACCTGCCTATGCGCCACCCTTTGATGGATTTTTGAAGCCACAAGGCCAGTGACCGTGGATGCTGCCAACGGCAATCGATAAAACCTCTGGCCTAAATATCAACTCTGCCGTCTTTGGCTTCATGCAGTAGCAATGCAGCATTGCTGAAGCCTGTCTGTCGCCACACCGGTCTGCAGGCACGGCAAGTCGACCAGCGCTGACTCACCGTGTTCGGACTCGAGGAACCAAAAGTATACTGACCATACCACCTCAGAGTACTATTTACTTGCTTGGCCCCCCCAGAATGACGTCTAACATCGAGACTTGTTGGCCGGATGTACGACTCTTCCTCGTTTTTAGGCGTGAGTAAGAGCTTCGTGCGTTCGTTCCATGAACAGTCAAGCAAGAATTTTGCCCAGATACAAAACAAGTTGATCCAGCATCGCTTGGAAAAGACCCAGCTGCGTCACACCAAGTTCTTCTCGTCCATCATGAAGGAGTGATAGGCGACAAAACCTCCTAGGAAAAACAGGAGTGCTATGCGCCGTGTAACGAGAATCGGCAACCATCTGATGACCCTTGACAAACACCACCTACAGCAGAAGCATAGAAATCTGTACCTCGCAACAAAGCCTGTGCTAAGAAATTGGGCGACCTCTCGAACTCGTTCTTGCACTATCGGTCTCGACCTTCTCGACGGAGAAGCCAAGGTCTCATACGGCTTCCGTGCTGCCTGTTGGAGATTCTCCCTGCGTTTTCAACTTGATGCGAACATCATAGGCATTTGCAATGGTGTTTTGCAAAGAAGACAACAGGGCACTATTACAAGCCCTAAAGTAGGCATCTCACATTCCCCCTCACCCCAAAATTGTGCATCATATGGCTGATGTCTCTTCCATAGAAATCTTGTTCAAAGTGATCGAGAAGCTGGAGAGTATGTTCCGCCAAATTTCGACAGCATACTACAAAGTTTGGATGAGATGTCTGCTGAAATCGATGACCTGGTCGTTCCCAATTTGTCGGCAGACATTCGGACTACATACAGTCCTGGCCGTGAAGAATTTGAGATCTTACAAGCGTACAACTCTTTGATTAAGGCTGGAGGCAGGCCGATATGCCCGCTTAGTGAGACAGCATCCATATCTAAACACCCCAGAAAGCACCTTGAACTCCTGGGCCCATGGGTCAAGGCCCCCTTGGTCGACTTGGCGATAGATTGGAAAGGCATCTTTGAGAAACAACTTTCTAATTGGCAACACTTTAAGGCTTGGCAGCAATCCAACAGGAAATTGGAGGCTTTGCCGGATACAGATACACCAGAGACATTGCTACAAGCCGCCAGCGATGGAGCAAATCGCCCCCTATCCAGTAGTCGCTACAGCTCGGGATCTAAAAAGTTTGAAGCGCATTTAGCCATGGCCAGAAGACGGCTCAATCACTGCGGTTTTACTAAATGTTTCACATTCGACATGGACTTGGGAAGACAGGACGAGTGGACAACTTGGATCGAGTATTTAAGTTTCGAGTGCTATTGTTGCGATGCCCATTCTCGTTCACACTTCAAACCCACTTCAGTTAATGATCTAGAGTCTGCAATTAGCATAGATCATGTTTCCTCTCTGGTTGAAAAGGAGCACACGAGCAGGCACTATGGGATTGACTGTTATTCTCGTGATGGCACGTCGACCCCTCATCATGCTAGCAACTGTGACAGCCCGATGAATTCACCACAAGAGGCTCAATACGACACCCACGCATCTAGGAAGGACGAATATGGAGCAGATGAGGGTGCAATTTCGAAAGTGGATGGTATCAGACCTTGGTTAGGCGGGTTGATTTCCTCGGGTGGTGGTGTAACGTACGATGGAACGGAGACGGCTGATGGAGAACCCAATGAAACGAATCATCACAGCCTCATCCTACGATGGGCTCTACTTCAAGAGCCTCAAATTGCTGCCAAGTCTGCTACGAGTCAAGGACGCATCAGTGCTACTGGAAAACCCTGGCCAACTACTAACAGTCCGCGACGAAAGCGACATTGGGATGGTTCTCTTTGTAGCAAGAGGTCTGGTGTTTTCCAAAGTGAGGGCTTGGGAAAAAACAACGATGGTGGCGGTCCGGAGCATAAACGCTCCAGAAATAGTATATGAGGACGTGTTTCCAGGTCCATTCATGTCTTTCTAGGCGTTGCGGCGCTTATCATCCACGTATGGGGAACAACAGTTGTGTCTCAAGCTCGAATGCATAAGAATTTTACAATGGGCGCTTGACAGTTGAGGCTTTCGCCAAACTTGTTGGATATGATTAATTTGGTAACTAGGCCGGTCCTCATAGCTATCCACAGCAACTTCACATGTGAGGTGTCAAGGACTCGAGGCCAACGTGAGGTTGTAGAATAATTCGGACTTAGGGAGTTGCGATTTGGAGGAGCGCCGTGAGGTTCTGAGCGACCGGATGCAATTGTACATCTTTTTTCCTATTTTGCATATTCCGAGACATTCATGTTCCAAGGGGCCATGTCGTTGAGCATGTGTGATGCACAGCCTCCTCGAACCTCAGGTATCACCAGTTCCACAACTCGCACAGTTCTCATCTTCAGGCACTTGAACGTGAACTGAACTAAACTAATCAAACTCACCACCAGGCGCTAGGTCTCTCCTTACCATCAAGAAATTGACCAGCTCTCTACTAGTGTCGGCATCAATGGTCCCAAGCCGCGGAATCTTAGTCTGCCGCCCAGCGGAATGGGCCAAACACGCGCGCACAATCCTTGCCTGGCCGTCCCCCAAAGCTGCCCCCTACAAAGAAGACCGCGCAGCCCTACGCCGCGCCACAGACGATGTGAGCTCCATCGCAGAGGCCGTTGCTCGTTTCGAGCCCGTGTCCATCCTAGTCGATCGTGAGTGTCTACCACAGGCCGAGAAGCGGTTTCGTTCAACGCACGGCCATGGGATACATATCCATCCCCTGGCCAGAGGCGGACTAGACGTGTGGATGCGAGACATGGCGCCAACTTTTACAATCGAGACAAACAATACAAGTAGAAAAAGAGAGCTACGCGGCGTGGCATTCAACTTCAACGGGTGGGGGAATAGATTCAACTCGGAGGCGTGCAGCAGTTTCGCAAAGGAGTACCTCGCCGACGCGGGAATCCGACCGCTCTTGTCGTGCATCACAGCCGAGGGCGGCGCTCTGGAGATTGACGGCGAGGGGACCCTCCTGGCCAGCGAGAGCTCCCTCGTCAACGACAACAGGAATCCGGGCCGGACCAAGTCTCAGATCGAGGCCGAGCTCAGCCGCACACTGGGCGTAACAAAGTTCATATGGATACCGGGCCTTAAAGACGGGGACTCGACGGATTTCCACGTCGACGCCTACGCGCGCTTCGCTCGCCCGGGCGTAGTTGTCGTATCGGCGCCTAGCGAGACTGAAGAGGCGAGCCGGTGGACGGATGCGTACGCCGAGGCCCGCGAGGTGCTGGCTTCCGCGACGGACGCCAAGGGGCGGAAGTTGGAAATCGTGGAGATGCAGGAGCCGAGGGTGGAAAAAGTCGTGCCGGGGGAGTATTTAGCCGCTGTCAAGCACGAGTGCGGGCACAGGCCGGTGCACAGCTATGTCAACTTCTTGATTGTGAATGGCGGTGTGGTGTTGCCCCAGTTTGGGGACGGGATGACGGACAAGAGGGCGGCGAAGACGGCGAGGAGGGTATTTGGGAAAGAGAGGGAGGTGGTTCCCGTTTTGATTCGCGAGTTGCCGCTTCTGGGGGGTGGGATTCATTGCTCTTCCCAGGAGGTGCCGTGTGTAGATGGCGGTTCCGTTTGAGACGGGATGTGGTTGTGGTTGTCTCTCACAAACTCTCAGCTGTGCATGAACAAATCTCGACTTGGGCACGTTGCGCGAGCTTTGGTCTAGGGGCTGAACTGCTCCTTTGGGAAGACTGTACATATTTCTTGGTATTTTCCATGAGTGTAGGTTGATTCTCAACATGTGCCGCTAATATATGCAACCGCTCTTTGGCGAAAACGTAGAGTCCATGACTTTTCGACAGCTTCCTGTGCCATCTGTAGCTTCTGCCCACAATTGTCTCTCTGCACGTCTAATCTCGTACGTAGTCTGGCGTTGCCACGAGCGAAATTAACGTTCCACTTCTAATTTCTGCCCGTGTCTGCCAGCGTCTACTTTGCTGCTGTGCTGAATAGATGCTATGTACATGGATGGTGTGCTCTCGCTTTGTGGGGAGAATTGCCAGCGAGACCAGCTAGAAGCAAGAACTTGAGAGAACATTGAAAGAGCAGTAGAGGACGCTAAACGGAGCAAAGACAAGAGGAAATGAACCTGATGGTTGTTTTATCAACCAGGGCCATGGCGTTGTACATTCGTTCGGTGCGGATGTCGAATCTCGTCACATGGTGGCAGGCACCTTATAAAGGTTCCCTGGCCTGTACCCAAATGAGGACATAGATGGCAATTTTGAAAGCCATCAATTGAGCGCATGAGCAGAAGCGCCGATATACTGAACATTGAAGCATGTAACGACATGGCGCTAGGCCTATATGTCAACGGTATGTTCTAAGTCAATTGCTGGTAGCGGCCAGTCGGGCGCCAACGAGCTACTGGCAGCGGCGTTGGAAATGTCTACTGGTACTTAAAGTCGTATAAAGTAGCAAAAGAAATGGTTAATGTTGCAACTTGGCACGGCCACAAAAATAAAAATACCCCTCTCGTGCACGTTCCATCTTGAAATCTCTACTCGCCAGACCTCGCAACTCTCTTGCTCCAAGTTACCCTGCCGCCTCCATATCCGTTTACTATACTTAGCAGGCGCACCGCACCAGCCGTCAAGCATCACCATCCTTTTCCAGCACAAACGCAAATAGACACCTGGTCCACGGATCAAGCGACCTGTTCTTCTTGGCACATTCACACCTACGCAGCCGTGCGCGTTCCCAGCCGTTGGGTACTTGCCATGCCTTCCGCACAGGACATTGCGTCAAAGCTGGCTCATATCTCCGGCCTTCTCAACGCGGGGGGTACGAATGCACAGATGAAGGAGTGGTACGAGGAATACAAGAAGCTGCGCGTGGAGCTGGAGCAGGCGAGGGCTTTGCAGGCGAAAGATGCAAAGGCTAATTAGAGCTTCTCTTGATTTGAGCCGAACGAGTCAATGTATGTCCAGGCTTGAGACGTCTAGGCGAATGCGTTTGGCTAAATACAAACAGGGTGCACCAAAAACGACCAGGTCATGGCGGCTGTAGATTCAAACAAGTGATGAACCACAGGTTAGAAGGCCAAGTCTTGTCATGGGAGCTCCGTATCTTTCCCTCGCTCTCGTGTACTCCCTGTTCGAGTATGCTTCTGCATCTATACAAATAATGCTATGCGTATAAACACCGATTAAGCCCAAGTACAAGTAGGACACTGAGCCATGACTACTTTCCACACCTTACAACGTGCTATATATTTCGCCAACGTATACTCTAGTCTCTCAAGGTCGAGAAAATATACCAACCGCCAAGAAGTACATGTACAACACTCAAAAAACCAGTATGTTCTCAATACACTTGCAAATTGATTTCTCGCCACCGCAGACATCCACCGACCCCCTCAGACCTACTTCGCAACCTCAAACTCAAAACTAACATGCTCCCACCCCAGCCGCCTCTGGAGAACAAGGCCCATGCCCTCCCCCTGCCCCAGGGGCTTCGACGCGCCCCCCAGAATCGTCGAGCCCGCCATCCCGACCAGCCGCACGGCTCCGCCCTCCCCGTAGCCAGACGCCTCAAACGCCAGGACGAGCGCCGCCGCGGCCCCCAGAATCTCCGCAGAGGCAAAGTTGCGCCCGGGACAGAGGTGCCTGCCGCCCCCGAACGGAATGTACGCCGCCCTCCTGGCCCTGTCGGCGTGGCGGTCCACGAACCGGTCGGCCTGGAACTCGGCGGCGTCGGCGCCCCAGACCTCCTCGGCGCGGTGCGTGTACCCGGCGGGCATCTGCACGTCGGCGCCCTTCCTGAGGAGGTACGAGGCGCCGCCGCGCCCGTCGGAGACGACCGTGTCCTCCATGACGCGCCGGACGCAGAGGGCGTGGTTGGACAGCCGGATCGACTCGCGGTAGCAGCTGACGAGCAGCGGGCACGCGTCTTCAAACGCGGTGATGTTGAGCGTGGCGACGTCGCTCCCGGGCTCGCGCCGCACGAGGGGGTCCAGCTCGCTCCGGAGGCGGGCGACGACGTCGGGCCGCGTCAGGACGTGGGCGGCCATCCAGAAGGTGGTGGGGATGGTGTTGCCCGTGGCGAGCTGGAGCAGGCTGGCTTCGAACCTGCCGATTTCGCTGTCGGGGAGGCCGTACTTTCGGAGGACCGCCGCGCGCTCGCGGGTCACGGCCGCCGCGGTCTCGTCCTCGTCGCCGCGGGCGGCGTAGTATCTTCCGAGCTCCTTCTGGAGCTTCTCGCGGGCCTGGAATCCCGCGGCGTTGGTGACGGAGTGCCACGGGGTGATGAGCATGGTGGGGATGGCCGTTTCCCAAGTCCTTGCGCAAGGTCAGTGGTGAACGGTTAGAGCGGCCGACGCGGCGTTGATACGCACCACAGGTCATTGACAAGCTTGGGGTCTTTGAGGAGAGGGTTCTGGCGGCCCATGAGGGCGGTGGTTGTTGCCGAGGTCATCAACTCGCGCAGCCAGAGGTAGAAGTTGTCGATGGGGACCTTGCTGCTTCCCTTCATCCCGTCTAGTCGAGACGAAATGTAGTTGAGGGCCGTGGCATTCATGCGGTGCAGCGGCTCACCACGAACCGTAACATGGAGGGCGTCGAAGAATTCGACCACGAGCTCGGGAATCTCTCGGAAGGCCCTGTAGGACTCTTCCTTCATGCCAAGCATGGTTTGCAGGAAGTCGACGGCGAATGGCTCGAAGCTGAGAGTCTTCTGGCGGAGAGCGGACTGGACAAGGGCAGGGTCCCAGATGGCATATGTCTTGCCGCCGAGCATGGGCAGCGTAGCAATGGCAGCTCCAGTCTTGTTGCTGCGCTGTGGTGTCAGCCGGCAGGTTCCATGTCATGGGGGTTTGGGTTCACTGCTTACTGTAGATTTGTGTAGTATTCTGCCTGGTTCCTGATGAGACCGATGAGGTGGCCAACAAACGGGATCTGGGGAAGCATCAGCGGTGGCTCCTTGGCGTCAAGCGCTGGAATTGACCGTCTGTAGAGGTATATGAGGACGGTGACAAGGAGGGTCGAGACGGTATATCGAATGGGAGACTGCTGGAACTCGGCGACGGCAGCAGCGATGATTCCACTCTCACGGACGGTAGCATTGGCAGTGCCCATCAGGAGGGAATCTGCTGTGACCAGGGGCGTGCCGAGAGTCGACTGAGCGGCGGCCATGGCTGCTAATCGTATGGGGAAGCGGAATCGTACAAGTGTATAATTTTGGTTTCCAAGAATTCCAAGTAGATTCTTCTCCTGAGAGCCGTTGCTGGCTCGGGTATAAAGGTTGGCTTGAGCAGCTCGGTGCGCGACAACGAAACCAAGAGGCGAAGAATTCATGACCTCTTATAAAGATGAGGCGTGTCCGACTAGGAGATTTGACCAAATCCTCCCCTCACATAACCCGCATGAACCCCTGTGCACATCGAATGATGTACATGGCTCAAGAGTCGCTCCGGACGGACACGGAATGGGGTCCGGAGGAACGAGTGTGGTTGAATTGCCAAGGTGACGAGACTGGCTTGGATCGTCAAGAAAACTTGAACTTTGGTATCATCCTCTCCTTTTGATTTACCGAACCACCTTATTCTCGGTCTAGTCTTTTGCCCTCGTACCATAGTTGCACGATGCACGCTCTTCTGCGTGCCGAAAGTGACGCCCGCTTCCACCTCCGGAGCTCTTCGGACGTGGCGTCCTAACCTTGCCAGTGAGCAACTACATGCAGAACATGCAACGATTGAGTAATACAGAGAGGCACATGCAGTACATTCAATTCTATCCAAAAAAAAAAAAAAATTACCTTGGAGAGTCATTCCCCCCACGTCAATTCCATCAGCTGGCTGTGATGGTCCCCTTGAACCAACTCTTCATCCTCGATGTTGCATCGCCCGGTTTCCCAAAAATGTTCTCAACAAGTATAAAATCGTGAGCCTCCCTTTCCGACTCATCTAGTCTGATTTGGCAGGTAGCATTCCTGCGCCGCAGCAGGCTGACCAGCCTGACACCCTGATCGTACAGAACCTCATTCTTTCCAACTGTGAGATAGACCCTGGAAGTAACGTCCCCGATACCATCGAGCCAGGCCTCTTCCGTGTCCAGAGGAGTCATGTATGGATTGGCGGCAGAGAGGTCCCCCGCAAGGACATCTGCCTTGTGCGCCTTGATCTGGTCCTCCCCGTAGAGGGCAAGGCCCAACGTATCCAAGGCCCCCGTGGATATCATGTCATTGCCGTCGTTCCGCTTGACCGAATCGCTGAATACATTGTTGCTCAGCCAGGGCGACACTAGAAAGACGCCTGCCAGAGGCTCCGAAAGTTGCAACGGACGGATTCCTTCGTGTGGGTGGAGGATGTGGCTCAAGACTTGCATGGTCAGGTTGCCTCCCGCTGAGTCGCCGCCCATGTAGATGTCTGATGGACTGGTGCCTGAATCGAGAACCGACCCCAGAGCCTCAGTAGCCTGTACTAAAGGAACGGGGAATCTGCCATCGTTCAAGAGCGTGTACTGGAGACAGCCGACAGCGACCTCGACTCCGGCCTCTCTGCCGGCCAGCACGTAGGCATTCCAGCACCAGTCGTAGTGGCCGCGGAGAGCAGGGGCAATGTATCCGCCTCCGTGAAAAAACAGCACAATCTTGCTAGCCTTGCGGCGGTTTCCAATCCACAGGAGCGAGCCGCCCGTCTGGCCCAGAGGCTGGATGTCGTGGACGAGGCGCTGACGAAGAGCTGGCTCCCTCGTGTGTCCCAGTTTGCTGTTGACCCATGTGTAATAAGCATCCACGGTAGGCTGTGAGTAAATCTGGATTTCGCGATCATTGAATGAGGTGAAGACGGCATCCACAATGGCGCAGAAGACGTAGTACTTGATGTTGAACCTGCGCCTGGCGGAGAAGTAGACGATTCGCAGAATATACCATGCCATGCGTAAAGGCACTGTCATCCCGGCATGTTAACAACATGGGGTCTCATCAAGTGGAAATGCAAAACATACCGATTGTTGTGGCCTTGGTCAACAGCTTCAGATACTCCCATATTGAAAGCCTTGGCCGCCCATTCTGGTGCGGGTAACTTTGCTGAACTTCTACAGCGAGCGTGCTTTGTACCGCCTAGTGGAACATGTACATTAGCATCAGGAACAAGAAGATGTATTTCGATGGGCTTGAATTCGCGGGAGGGCCGCAAAGGGCGTCCAGCCACGCACGCCAGCAAAACTCCCCATGCACGACCAACTCACACGCTACCGAGCAATCGACATACCATCTTGAAAACAACCTACTCGGGGGAAAAAACCGAGCTGGGATTACTGGAAGAAACCAACTGGCCCTGCAAGATGAGAATCATCTACCAAAGCCAATTGCCCGTGCTGCGCCGTCTCGAGGTCTCGAGGTTCTTTTTGTCGCCGGATGAAACGGGGACGGGGCGACGAGACGTGAGCACTTTCACGTGTAATTCCATGCTCCAAATCGTGTACATTCTGCGCATGGATCTGGGTATAGGTAGGGATTGTCCAAGCGAAGGGTCCAAAAAGAGGATCTCTGGCAGCTTGGTCGCGCCAAACTCCAAAGGATGACGGTGTTTTCCCCCCAGGGGCCCGCCCCCTTGATCCCCTATCCCTTCTCCATTCGTCTTTTTCCTGCTCCTTGGCCAGGGGTTGGCCATGTGCGGGGGGAGCTCAATTGGAGCCTCGGTACGGAGGAATCAACCCCAACCCGCGTCACGGCTCGTCTTGCTCCAGTAGCCAGGCCGGTGATTCTGTCTGTTGTTCGACCAAGGTAAAACTGCTGGCCCAGGCTGTTGGAAATAATTGGAAGCGGCGGAGGCTGTTTCTAGCCAGCCCCCGGTGGCGGTCGATTTCTGTTCGAGGCAATTGATGGTTCCTATCCGACGCCCAACGAAGCGGCATCAAGGACGAGCAGCTCGCGAACCAGGTCACTCTATCGCGATGTGGGGCGGAAGCCAAAATTCAAGAGGGAACGGAGTTCAAAGACTAGCCCGCCAGTGTAACCGGTTGGAGTGTGAAGAAATTGACCCGTCATCCCGTGTGTGGGTGTGGGTGTGGGTTGAGAGTTGTGGGTTTGGAAGTGCTGGTGGATTTGACGCGCGTGGGTTTGAAGAGTCAAGCGTCAAGTCGGTTAATGTGCCACCGTAGTCGGTGCATCACCAGTCAGCATCCAATATAGTCTTGTGTCTCACGTCAGTCACCACTCTGGTTGACCAGCGACACATTATGTAAACATGAAGCGATACCTATCGCGTGTCCGAATATAATTTTTTTTTCTTTTTCTTCTTTTTCTTCTTTTTCTATCTTTTCCAGTTCCTGTCATGGCATCTTGAGGGGCTGAAGTAAAGGGAAGAGAAATACCTTCGCCATGTTTTCTCGTGAAGGCCTCACCCTCGACGTCGTGGCCGGAGCAGTACGGAACTGGATCCTCACTCCGACGACAACGCTCCCGCTGGCCTTGGGCCTGACATGGGAACCGCTCTTTGCTCGACTGGCCCAACGGAGCTCGCGCGACCGGGCAGCAGCCATCCGCTCTCGAGTCTACTGGCTCGCCGCCGCAAGTCTCGCCCTCGCCCTCAACGACCAGCTCAACAAGCAAAGCGCCAACAACTGGGTCGTCGACTCCCGGTGGAACTGGGACGATGAGATTATCGTTGTCACGGGGGGGAGCAGCGGCATCGGCGCAAGCATCTGCCAGAAACTCGTCGCCAGGAACCCTCGCACGCGCATCGTCGTTCTCGACTACGTTCCGCTGTCGTGGACGCCGCCGCCTGGCGCGAGACTGCACTTCTACGAGTGCGACTTGAGCGATGCCTACGCCATCAAGCTTGTATGCGACCGCGTCAAGGCCGAGGTCGGCCATCCTACCGTCCTCTTCAACAATGCCGGCTTGGCCCGGGGGTCGACCGTCATGGAAGGGACGTCCAACGACGTGCAGCTCACCATCAAGACGAATCTGATTGCGCCGTTTCTCCTGGTCAGGGAATTTCTGCCGGAAATGGTGCGCAGGGACCATGGCCACATCTTGAATACGGGCTCCCTGAGTTCCGTCGTCTCGGCCCCTACCATTGTCGATTACTCTGCTTCCAAGGCTGGCTTGACGGCTTTACACGAGGTATGTTTCTTTGTTTTTGGCACAGGAGAGCGTTATATAGCGATACTACCATTGCCCAATACTCCTGCATCTCCTCACGCTGCTCACTTTTTTCACAGGGCCTGCAACTGGAGCTCAAGAGCCTGCATAAAGCCCCTAGGGTGCGTCTTACGCTGGGAATATTCAGCTTCATCCGCACGCCTCTTTTTACCGGCAAGACGAATGAATCCAATTTCGTGGCCCCGCTGCTAAACGTGGAAACCGTGAGCGACAAGCTCGTGGATGCGGCGTACAGCGGCTACGGCGGCACCATCTATCTGCCGGGCATATGCAGATACATCACTAGCTTGGTACGTCGACCTCTCCCGTCATATTTTCATGCCTTATTAAGCATCTGCTAACGTTGGGCGCGTATGTCTTTGCAGAAAGGGGGCCCAGAATGGCTCTTCCGGCGTATTCGGGAGCGCTCGCTGCGGGGTGACTATGATTTCGAGAGACAGAAGAGCCGCTATGACCAGGAGACTGGGAAGGGCACTTGACCCGCTCAAGTAGGAGTGTTGACGGAGAGGAAACAAAGGTGCCTCGGGAATAATAGTGAATGAGAGTGCATGAGTATGTAGGCGTTAGGGGGGCGGCATCATTGGACATTTCCGCTAACATGGCCGAGATACAAGACTTGGACGAACGGCAACTTGGCCACACAATATTGATGGTAGCCTCATGTCATTACAAGAGGCACTTGGTTGCCAACCCCAAGTAGACAACAACACGCTGCTATACATGTTGGTGTAGCGAGCGATAACCAGGGACCGAGTCGCCTATTTTCAAACTGTCACCAGCTCCAGGACACAACCGACCCGGACACTTGGATGTCTTCGCGCCCCGAAGCGGAGGGTTGGTGAAGGAGTAGGTATGTGGCGTCTGGTGCCATTGAACGCTGTGGTCTGTGGACCTCGGCATGTCGAAGAAGAACCCATGGCGGCGCCAATCAACTAGCTTCTCACCTTCGGCTTGTTATAGTTATCAGTGATGGCGTAGTAGCCTGTTTCGGCTGTCTTGCCTGGGCAAAAAGGCTGTTGCCGTCCCCGCAAGTTGGCGTCAACGGTATTCGATATGCGCTCCCGTGGAACCGCGCCGCGACCATCATGTCGTGTGTCGCAAACCAGCTCTTGTCCTGGCATTTTGGCCATTTGCCAACCGTTGAATCACATTATTTCCGGCGATCCTCGTTGCATGTTTTGACGGGTGCCAGGGTAAGGTAGGCCGAGTTTGCAGCCGGCTTCGTCAGCGTGCCATTACCGACCGGGCAGTCATCTCGGCAAACCTCCCTCCGCGGCTTCTCACCACTTCGGCCTCGCAACCCTCTCTCCCTCCGCGGAAATCGAAAACGGCTACGGCGTACGGAGTAGTCTGCTGTCAATTTGCTGAACGGAAAGTTGGGGTTGCCCCGCCCCAGCTCTCGTCTCCTTTCTCATTCGAAGGTCAATCCCCCTGAACCCCGTCAAAATGTCGCGCTAAATAGCCACCTTGGCCGGGCACCGGGCTTTTCGAACGGGCTACCGGGTTACTAGTAGTATCAGACGTGAGGGGAGCATTTCAAGTGGCTATAACCTTACCTGCTATTTAATAACAGAGCGAGCCCAATCGAATAGACCTGAGCTTTTATATAGTGTTTTCTGACCCGCGTCGACTGGCAAAGTGCAAGCTTTGGACTGTTGACACACGCCCGACTCCCTTTTTTTTTTGGCATGTGCTTCCTGTTTGTATATCTCTGCTGATCATAAAGGGGTGGCTGGCCGAATGTCCACTGGGTGAGGCATAGTAGCTGTTCGTCGTCTGTCGTCCCAACTCACAGTCGCCCATCTCTCCTAGTTCCGTGCCGACAATACTTCACTTTCTACCCCTATTTCTTCGTCGTCTTCGTACGCTTGACTGCGCCTCCAAGTCATCATAAACACAAATCATGGGCAAGACTACCCCCACATACAGCCAGTTTGGCTGCATTGGCTCTGGCTTTTCTGCCATTGGCCTGGGCGCGACTCTGAAGCGATGGTACGGCATCACCGATATCCAGTTCTTCGAGAGGCACTCCGACTTGGGGGGCACTTGGTGGGCGAACAAATACCCAGGTGAGCCGATTGCTTATTCTACTTCTGCTTTGCTCTGTAGGATGTACTGGTCTTCTTCTGTTGCCAACTGTCCGCCGCACCGTCGAGCTGCCAAGCTGATTCTGATTCCCCTTGTCAAGGATGTGCCTGCGATGTTCCCAGCATCCTGTACAGCTTTTCCTTTGCGCCAAACCCCAAATGGAGCCAAGTTCTCGCCACCGCCGACGAGCTCTGGCAATACTTGAAATATGTCGCCAACCAGTACGATTTGGAGAGCAAGATGACGTTTCGGGCAGAGGTTTCCCGCTGCGAGTGGAGGGAACAGACGAAACGGTGGAGAATGTACATTCGAAACTTGGACACGGGCGAAACCCTCGTCCACGAGTGCCAGTTCCTCTTTGGCGCTACCGGAATCTTGGTGAAGCCTAGACCGTGCGATATCCCCGGCGCCGACTCCTTCAAGGGTCCTCTGTTCCATTCCGCCGAATGGAGACAGGACGTGGACGTGACGGGCAAGAATGTCGTCCTGGTAGGCAACGGCTGCACGGCGTCGCAAATCGTCCCTGCCATTGTCAACAAGACCAAGCATCTGAGCCAGTTTGTGCGCTCCAAGCATTGGATCATCCCGCCCATCAACGTCCCATACACCAAGTTTTGGCAGACCCTGTTCGAGCATGTCCCCGGGGTGCTTGCCTTCTTCCGCTTCAGCATCTTCATGTACGCTGAAAACGACATGAGAGGATTCTTCATGACCAAGGCCGGCGAGGCATATAGGAAGCACTACGAGGGCGTTGCCACCAGATACATAAAGAAGACCGCTCCCGCCAAATACCACGACATGCTGATCCCCGACTTTTCCCTGGGGTGCAAGCGGCGGATCTACGACCCCGGCTACTGCAAGGCTCTGCACGCCACCAACTTGACTGTGTCGCAGGAGCCCATTGTAGAGATTGTGCCGGAAGGTGTCCGCACCAGGGACGGGAACGTGACCGAGGCGGATGTCATTGTCCTGGCCAACGGCTTCGACACCAATGAATTCATGGCCGGCATCGAGGTTGTCGGCAGAAGCGGCAAGACCATCAATGAGCATTGGGAATCCTGGGACGGGCCAGAAGCTTACGCTTGCTCGGCTCTGAATGACTTTCCCAACTTTTTCATGCTTCTAGGCAAGTTGCCCCCCCTTGTCTCTCAAGAGTTTGCCACGTTTGATGGGGGAACATTGTAGACGTACTTATACGGGAGAAAACTGTAGGTCCCAACACTGCCACGGGTCACACATCCACCATCTTGGCTGCTGAAAACAACATCAACTACGCCCTGCGAGTCATCAAGCCGGTTCTCGATGGAGAGGCCCAGTTTGCCGAAGTAAGGCGCGACGCCGAGGAGAGGTACTCGCGAGAGATGCAAGCAGCGCTCAAGAACACCGTTTGGTTCTCGGGCTGCCACAGCTGGTATAACAAGGAGGATGCGGACGGCAACAAGTGGAATGCCATGACGTATCCCAAGTTTCAGCCGCAATTCTGGTGGGAGAGCATGTTCCCCGTGTACAGCGACTGGATTTATGAGGTAGGTACTTGTCTATTTTTAGTTTTTTTTGGAATCATTGCTCTCGTACTTTATTTGACGCATGTTCGCTAACAAGAGTCTTCCTCACCTCAGCCTACTCCTGCTGCCGCTCGTTTGAGAGCCCGACGAAGGTTGTTGGGCCTGGTGCGGTGGGCGTTGGTGTTTGTGGCCGGTTTCGGGGTCAGTCTCGCGGCGAGGAAATATTGGCACATTTTGTCCCAGCTTGGGCCTCTGACTAGGCTTTCTATTATGCAGCTGAGACAAAAGTACAAGGTTTAGAGCGCATTCGCCTTTGTAGTTGGTAGACTGAGTTTGCTGTTCGATGACTTGTATGGGTTTTGCGGCTTTGGCGTTGAAGAGATGTTGGTGATAGCTGGCCGTGATACATTAAGATGAGTACATGTTTCCCACGCGGTATGCTATGTGTAAGATTCATAAGTGAAGTCTGCCAAGTGACTGGTCATGGACAGCCCGAATATGTTGTCGAGATGTGCACATAGTTACCAAGTAGTCCATGTGCAACAGTCATACTTGGGAGATGATCAGCAGTGAAGTCGGCCGAGTGACTGGTCGTTGACAGCCCAAACCATCGGTTGTAACTGGCCAGTCCACGGGGTGGCAAAATGGCATCTCGGAGTCTCCATTCTCCATGGAAACTAGGACTCCCCACACCACCTGGCATCGGACAATGAGCTGTCAGTCTAGCCAGGTTTCGGGCGTCGGCATCGTCGACGGGTTCAGAGGCTCCTGAGATGTGAAAGGCTGGAAACATCAAATTGAGCGTGTCCCTGGCGGTTCATGGATTTCGGGCTAGTGACCCACTAATGCTGCCCTGTGCCGAGAAGGAAGGCGCATGTCGCTCTGGGGCTTCGGCTCAACGACAACCGATTGACTTGTGCGTTCAACCGTCCTTCGGCCCTTCACCCCGTCAAAGCTTCATCTCTGGCGCTGTGCACTATCATGGGTTCCAATTATTCCATAACGAGCCCTCGGGAAGTAATTGACTTGTTAACACATAGGAGCTCGCACCGTCCACATGGTACCTCAGGGCAAGGAACGCCAGCGTCGCCGCAAGATAAGTCTTGCATGTGAGCCATGTCGCGAACGCAAGTCACGATGTGATGGCGGTAAGCCCATCTGCTCCATGTGTCGGCGACGAGCACTAGGGTTAGAAAGATGCGTGTATAAGTTGGAGAATGCGAGGACGGCCAGCACAGATGAGTATGTCTGTCTGTCCTGTCGGGCAGACAAGTCACAAGAATGCCAACACCAGCAACGCTGACATGAAACCCTGTCGGGCCTAGATATATCAAAGTCTTACACAGTCGTATCCGGAAACTGGAACAAGTCTGCAGGGACTCGCATGTCCAAGTTCCGTCGCTAGACTTTGACCTTCCCCCCATTGCTGAAGCAGAGACTGAAGCCGACACAAGGCAAACACCAACATCCACGCCAATCTGTTCGGACTATAGCTTCTTGCGGCTGACGCCCACCAAGGAATCCTCGTCAGTAGACTCGCCTCTCGTGCAATCCCAGCCACCAAACACGGCAGCCTCCGCAGACAACGGCATCGTCACCGCCGAACCAAACAGTAGCGTCTCAGCCATGGGCACAGTCATCACCGACGACGACGTTTCCGTCTCCGAAGACTTCTACGGCAGCTCCTCTACGGCCTCGTTCTTCAAGGAAGCCTTCGACTCCATGAAGGACCACAAGAAACACCAACACACGCAGCCCCGGCGAGAAGCAGGCCGCGACTGGCGCCGCGGCTCGTCCTACTTTGTGCCCTCTCATCAATTCTCCCTGCCACCTCGCGACCTCGCAGACCACCTGGTCGCCACATTTCGTGAAAAGGTCTACTACATGTATCCGTTCTTTCACTTGCCTTCATTTGAGGCTGCATATCGCAGTCTCTGGAAGCCTCAAGCCGAGCCAAAGCGTCCTTCCACCTCTTCACCAACCAGTCTCGGGCTGGGTTGTTATCCTGACGGTGACGCGAACACGATTTCGTTTCATGCTGCACTGAATGCCATTTTTTCACTGGCGTGCCATTATTCGGACCTCCCGCCTGCCGAGCGACTGGCCGCCTCGACGACGTTTTTCCTCAGGACAAAGCCCTTTGTGAATATTGATCTTTTGGAGGCAAATAATTTAAGTGTCGTGCAGACCTTGTTGCTCATTGCGTTGAATTTGCAGGGCACGCCGCATCCAAGTCGGTGCTGGAATGCGAGCGGTGTCGCATGTAGAGTTGCTCAGGGGCTGGGTTTGCATGCAGAGCACCATCAGGACACGAGGGGCGCACTGGAGAAGGAGATTCGGAGGAGGACCTGGTATGGCTGTATTGTAATGGATATGTGAGTTTTCACCGTCGTGGCTGGTGACTGTGTGAGAGTGAGTAAGCTAATGAACGCACATGCGTGTGCGGTGAAGGTTGGTGAGCATGACATACGGCCGCCCGGCTATGACAACACACATTTCAGTATTGCCGCTCCCGTCCGGGTTTGAGCAGAATCTCTCGGTGCCTGTGGAGCCACATCAGGTCGCACCTAGGTTTCGGTTCTACAGAGAAAACATCCGCCTCTGTGGGATACTGGAGGATATTCTATCCAAGGTATACCAGCCGTGGATGAATCGCGTGTCGCCTGATCTATCTCCTGTCACGGGCGGGAATACCTCGCCGCATTACAGCCTCGATACGATTGTCATGCTACATAGGAAGTTGTCTGATTTTGAAAATTCCGTGCACGAGACGCTTTCGTGGAAGAGAGAGGGAGAGATTCCGTCTGAATATGCTGCGCTGTTTAAAGCTCAGAGACTGCTGCTTCATGGTCGGTATGTCTTGCCACATGTCTCAAAAAAATTCACATTTTTTGGCAACCCTATATTGGAGCGATTGTGGTAGGCTAATCAGAAAGACAGCTTTATATATCTTCGCATCATGCTGCTTCGCCCCATTCTAACACACCTCTCAACACACGAGCAACCAAAATCCGTAGGTCCCAAGCTAGAATCAACTACGTTCACGGATCCTATTCTAGCAGGGACATCGCTCCAATGTGCGAAACTATGTGTCGAGGCGGCGATTGATTTGTTGCGACTACTTCATACCAATTTTAATCCACAGGTTCCAGGGTCATGGTGGTGGGATGTCCTGTGTAGGTGTTGCTCGTCCAAACTCTTTTTTTCACTTTTGAAATTTTAGTCGCTCATATTAGATAGATGCCTGCACGGCTGGCATCGTACTTATCATAGCGAGGACATGTCCCACCCTCGTCCCGTCACTCAATCAAGCCCAAATGTCAACGGCTTGGGACGAATGCCAACAGATTCTGAAGCATGTTGCTTCGTTTAATGCGTCTGGGCGACAGTCTCTCAAAATGCTTCAGACAATCCATAGTAAAGTCTTGGTTAAGTCAGGAAGTACGTCCTTTCTCGTCCTCATCCCACGACCCCCATTTGCACCAATTTCTTTTCGACAAACACTGACGCCTTCAAGGCAGCCCAGCTAGTCCCAACCTGCGACCCCAAACCACTCCAGCGGCGGAAGAATGTGATCTGTTGCAGTCGGTGGCGTTTGATTCCGCGACGAATTTTGACTTGTCGACAGAACCTGAGTTTCAGGGTTTTGGAGATTTGGATATGATTGGGTCGTTTTTCAACTGGGATACTACGAGTTTTGATGCGTTTGGGGGAGTGCCCATACAGAATTAAGTTGGGTGGACTGGGCTGTTCATCTAGTATAAGGAGCGTTTTTGCGTTAACAAATGATTATTTTGGGGGTGATTTAGGGGCCATGGTACTATACATATTGCATCCAGACTTTGAGCTGGACATAATTTCATCAAGCTTCAGACCACTTCTGTTTCATATGAGTTAATACGGTATACGCAGTCTACTGTTCTATAGTATACATCAATGCCAATGCTCGAAAAGTACATTTTACATCCCCCCTAATTTGCACTCTAGGCATGCTTGCCCGTTCCCGAAACCAGCAACACAACGCTGCCCAACTGTCTGCGCACATCCTCATTATTCACATCGTGCGTGTCTTCAACCTCTCCCCACTGTGTTACCTGCCAATCCACCTCCAGACTGACCGTCTTGGCGGCTTCCTCCACGCCAAACTGCACATGGCCAGACAGGTTGGGCTTCCTGACAGGTCCCTCGCTCCATTCGGTGATGAAGCGCGCCGCGGCAACCAGGCTCTTGCCCGCCAGCACGGCTCGCTCCAGCCCTGCCATTTCCCAGGGACTCAGGCCAGACACCCACCCCTGGACGACTTCCCGCACGCCGTCGTCCTGCTTCCTGGGCATGATGGCGTGGCCGTCGAGCACGGGCTCCAGCCTGATGCCGGGCCAGACGTGCGTCGTCATGAACGAGACAATCTCGTCGGTCGTGCGCTTCTGCACGTCGCGGAGAGACTCGCCCGCGTCGTTGCGCAGGTCATACTCGCCCGCGGGCGGCGCCCAGCACAGCAGCGAATCGGTGTCGAGGTACCGCAGGACGCTGGTGGTGATGTCGTTTCGGATCGTGGCCGCGCCGGGCGCGCTCGACGCGTCGTCCTTTTCAATGTCCAGCGCCCGGCAGGCCAGTGAGGTCAGGGGGATGAAGTGCTGCTTGGTGGCCTGTAGCGACGACGTCATGGTGTCCCATTCGAGGGCGATGGCGAAGGCGAGGTTGGGCTTGGAGAGGGGCAGTCGAATGACTTCTTTGGTCTTCGGGTGTCGCAGCGGCCGTGTATCGAGGTGGACTTGGAGAGCGCCTGTTTATTCCGCCGTGGCCATTAGCGAAAAGAAAGAAAGAAGACACTGGGAGCGGCTTGCGGTTGAGTGAGAAACCTACCGTCTACTTCTTGCACGCTGACTTCTTTCCAAAACCTCTTCTGCAGGGCCATGGTCTTGCCATCCTTTGCGTTTCTTATGACTTTGGCTTGCTTCAGAAGGTCGGCCTGTTTCCGCCGGCGCTCGATTCGTTCGTTCATGTTGCGAACGGCTGGGGTCGGCGGCTCCGGTGGTGGCCCGGTGCCGAGGACGGAGGCGACGCTGGCTGCTTTGTATGTCGTGGCATGGAGAGGACGGGTGTGGATGGGCGTGCTGATGGTGCGCGAGACCGCCCGCAGCGGCAATTGGGTGGTTGGCCGCATGATGGTGATTGTGGTGTTGTGTTGATGGGTTTGCGGGTTTGATGTCAGAAATTTGGGATGGAACTTTGGCTGGTTGAAAATGATGTAAGTCGGTCTTCAGGTTCAACGGACCGTGACCCACTTGGACACGCCACATGGCAGCCAATGCCGACGAAGAGTGTGACGTGGGCAATGTGCGGGTGAGATATTGTAGGTCTCGATAAAGGCGTGAAGTGTCCCTATTATTGGTCTTATATAGTTATACAACATTGAAATATTTATATTTCAAAGTCGTGGTGTTTGCGATGCACTATTCCCTGAGCGTGAATGTGTCAGGGGTTTAGGTCGACGTAGCTTTCTTGGTACTACGGCATTACCGATATCAACAAGTTTCGGACACTGTCCACTCAGATTATCTGGGCTATACATCTTCAGCTTCTGGCCGGCATATTGGGCATAAATACAAAGTTCTAATTATTATTAAATTATAATAAAAAATAAAAAAAGGCTAGTTAATCACCAGGACCCACTAGTAATACAATTAATAGCTATACCTAGCTAATTTAATAGTAATATATAATTTAAAAAATAGTATATATATTACGATATATTAAATCTACTAGCTTAAAAGGTGATTTATAACCTTATACGCCGGCAAAAGCACGTAATAATAACGGCGACTTATAATTATATAAGTTATACCCTAAAAAACTCAGAGTAATCTAATATAATATAAATTAATAAAGTCTTA